TGGCACAAAAGCAAAATGGTGAACTGTGAACACATGGCTGCCACCTTTGTAGCCAAATCAGCAGTCATAATCATCTACTTGTAAAGTTTGTGGTCATGTGGATGTTTTTCATTCTCAAGCAACGTTTCATGCAATCACACAATCTACCCACCACTTTGAACTATACCCACAGTACCATATCGAAGCCAGAAAATTCGATAAGAGTGTCGTTGATTATGTAAAAGTATTCAAAGTCTATTTCTTATTAATAACAAGTTAATATTTTACTTTATATACAATATAATTATATTTTTCGGCGAAAGGTATTTAATTGACCACCTTAGCCATACATAGCTTCACCCGTGCATATAGCTATATGCCTATATCCATGGCGCTTCAACTCCAACTTAAGTACCACCGGACATTAAGTTACGCTGGGATGGATAGAATTAGTGGTGAAAGCAGGATTTTCACCAAAGGATTTAAAAAAATACGCAAAGAAGTTAAGAGAATTCAATACTAAATATATATATATATATATATATATATATATATATATACATAAAAAAAATAATTTAACCTTATATATAAAATATAATTTTTGGTAAAGAGAATTCGACAGAACCACCTTCCGCCCAGCTAGCTCCACCCCTGAATAGGATTCGATCAACTTTAATAAGAAACTTCGAATTCGATCCTTGTAAATGAAAAAAGTCGGCTAGAAAGTATTTTTTTTCTTTAATGCGCCTTACGTAGCACGAATTCAAATTAGTCAATGCCACAACATAAATTTCACACACCAAGTAAGAGAAAAAAAAACTCCAACCTAATAAAGGAAGATTTGTGGGAGAAATTCAAAAATAGCCAGATTTACAACTAGTCATTCAAAAATAGCACAGTTTCAAAAGTAATCAAAATTTAGCCACTTTTTATGTAAAGATAAATCTGAGCGAAAACACTGTTCAAAACCCGGAAAATACGCCAGTATATTATGCTGGAGTTCCAGCATAAGTATACTTGAACTCCAACATATTATACTGGAGTTCGAGGATAAGAATATGTTGGAGTTCCAGCATAAGTACATTAGAACTCCAGCATAATATACTAGAGTTCCAGCAAGTATACTGGTTCAACATAATATACTGGAGTTTGGAGAACTAGTGCTCCAGTCTCCAGTATATTATACTGGAGCCAGCAAAGTATACCGGTCCAGCATAATATGCTGGAGTTCATACACAGGTGCACCGAACTCCAGTATATTATGCTGGACCGGTCTCTGTTGCAGCAAAATAGTGGCTATTTTTCATTGACTTGGTAAACGCTGGTTATTTTTGAATGACCAATCCGAAAACTGACTATACCGTGTTATTTTTACAGATTTGTGGGTTTAACATGTGGGTCCTGAGATAGAGTATCACGAAAGGTTTCTGTTAATAACTACAATTAACTGATGCATTATTTTTTAATTTTGAGAATCCATTATCACGTAGCAATCCGCTTTTTCAATTTATATTATTTTCCCTCTCTTTCTTTTTTTTCTTCTATTTTTAATTATGTAAGATGCAATATCACTTTCTCTCCATTTAAAGGGGTGATACTATAATTTTAGTAGAAGAAACTGGTCTTAAGAAAATTTCTGTATTTTATTACTGTTCTCGTATATTATATAATACATTTTACCGATTTCATTTGAAAAGTGTCATATAACTAAAAAAATATTTTGTAATAAAAATCAAGATTAAAAGAGGAACAAGAACAACACCTTTATGACGGTTATCATATGTAGTTAATCTCAGAGGCGGAGTTAGGATTTCAAGTTTATCAGGATTCTAATGGTTTTAAGTTAATGGATTTTAAAATAATAATTTGTAGTACATATTTAATAGATTTTTTAAAGACAAATACATGATTCGAATCAAAATTATCGGGTTCGATCAAATCCGCTCCCAGCACTCTACAGCTCCGCCCCTTTGATTAATATATAAAGTTTTTATTCTATCTGCGTACTCTTATATTCATATTGAATATAAACATAAGAGCTAGCTATAAAATAAATTTAAAAATAAAATTTATTTTAATACTTTTTTGTCTATCATAATAAACTAATGATTCTTCAATTATAAGTATAGACTTCGTTTTCAACTAATCTTTTAGACGTCTCAAACACGCCAAAACGGATTTCATCATTTCTCTACGATGTGTTTCTTTAATTTAATTGGGTGCCATTTTAAAAGTGATTACTTTTACATTTACCTTTATATATTTTTCAAATCTTTTTGGCTTTAACGAAATTAATTCTAATACCGTCGGAAGGGTCTTACATGAAGAGTTTAAATTCTATACATCATTTATATAAGGAATTTTTATATCATTAGATCACATTTATATGTTGCAAGTAACTTGTCTCATTTTCGATATTACAAATTCAATTTTTTTAAAGCTCAGATATATATATTTTTTAGGTGACGTGATTGTTTAAAAAAATTCTTTAAACTGACAATATATATAATTTAAAATCTATTTTAATGTGTTTAATCCAAAATCATGTTTGAAGGTGGAAAAATATATCAGAAGACTCAAGAATATATTACTTATGGGAAATTAATATTGCATATTAGCATAAAATTTAAAATATAACATGTACTCTTAAAAATATGATGACATGGTGAAATTATTTAGTAAATTGATCTCAAATTAATACCTGATAATTGGAGGAGCCAGCCACTATATATCTATCATATTAATTCTAATTAATTTTTTTCACTAAATGAAAAGACATCTAAAAGAAGCATGTCAAATTCTTTAATTAAGATCGATCTTCTCTTCTAAACACGCCACTAATTAATGGTTAGAGATTTAGCACATGCCATTAGTATTCAATTTTTATACTTAACTGAATAATTACACCTTCTCCATTAAAAAATTAAGGCGTACGCACGTTAAAAATTATTGCTAATTATGGTTGCATTTATTTTGGAAACATTCAAAAAAATTGATTTAATTTGTCTAATAGAAAAAAAAAATTAAATTTTTCTAAAAAGTAGTATACACATATTTACACATGACATGGAAAGTACTATAAATCACCATTTTGTGTTAAAAAAATTTTAAAAAAAAAATATTTGGAAAAGACATTTGATTGAGTTCAAATTTAGAATTTGTAACCAATTATATGTTCAATCTTTTGACTCTAATAAACTCTTTTAATCTGAAAAAGAAAATTTGAACGATGACTTGCTCGTGATATCGCCTATCAAATTGGGATTTACATATTTATATATTATGCTATTTAATGTCAGAGTATTATATGTTCAATTTTTTTGACTTTAGCAAACTCTTCTCAAATAATTAATAGGGATAAATAAAAGAAAGATTAAAATACAGGGAAGTAGCTATTTGTGGGAAACGTAAAGGATGAAGCCAACGTGAACATAATCAAAATATTTACTTATTAGGTGAATGCGTTTCAATCTCAAATAAATTAAAATCAGGTTAGATGAATTTTCACTATGTCGAAAAAAATATTTTTGAGATCTAAAGATTTTATTTTTAAAATCTACCAAAAAATAATTACAATCTATAAACAAACAGATTATTTGAGTATAGAATTTTAATTTAAGCTCTCAAATTTTATGGCTAAACGAGAATTTTATCACGTAACATCATCTTAAATTGTAAAGTGTCCCTAGGTGAACATATTTCAATAATACTTATATATGATGAATTGGCTAATTTTTAGCTGGCCTTTTTTATTCGGGTTTGAAATCGATAATATGAGCAAGTTTATATATACGGATTTAAAACTCAATCAAACTATTACTCTATAAGGCATATAAGAATAATACTTCCTCCGATTCAGAATAAGTGACTTTTTTGCCGTTTTATTTTAGTTCAAAATAAGTGTCGTTTTTATGTAATCAAGAATAAATTAACTATAGTTTCTCATATTTACCCTTATGTAGATATCCCAATGTGTCAAGTTAACAACATGCAAATTTTAATTAAGGATAATTTAGTCAGAATACTTATTTGTTTCTAGGAATTAGTAATTTATCAAGGGGTGTGCCACAGACAAAATAGTCACTTATTGTGGACCGAAGGAAGTATATTGGAGGAATTAAAATATATGATGAATCGATTAATTTTTAACTAGTTGTCATTATAGGCAATCTTCTTCCGGGTTGGAACCGATAATATAAGCAAGCTTAAGGGGTCGTTTGATAGGGTGTATACTGAATATGGTGTATTAATAATGTTGAGATTAATATTGCTAAGATTAGTTATGCTGTAATTAATTATACTAGAATTATTTCTTATCAACTGTTTGGTTTGGTATATTAAAGGTTGTGAAAGGGCAAATTCTATCTTTATACATGCTTATCATTGTATTAAAAATCATAGTATAGCTAATGCCATAATTTACTATGTATAAGAATAATACTAAATAGGGTGTATAACTTAAAGTCTAATACAAATAGCATTACCAAACAAGGGAGTAATAATACCAAAACTAATACATGTAATATTTTTCCTAATATATCTTACCAAACGATCTTTCAGGGTTCGTTTGGTATGAGGTATAAGAAGGTATAAGGGTGCTATAAAAATTTAATACCATCTTAATACTCTGTTTGGTTAGCAAACCAGGTATAAGTTATCCCGGTGTTAATTTTAACACCGGGATAACTTATACCTTATAGAAGGTGAGAATAATTAGCACCAGTATAACTTATACATTCTTTTTAGAAATTATGTAATTGTCATTTTTAATACACCATACCAAACAATGAATAATCAACAATCCCACCATAACTAATCCCAACATAACTTATCTCAATATAACTTATACCGGCATAACTTATACCGGTATAAATCGTATTCCAACCAAACGACCCCTTAATTAATTATAGTTAGATAATGAGTTAAGCTAAAAATATATTTTAATTCAGAAATTCAGGTACATATATGACTGTCTCGTGAAGCATGAAAATTAATCAAAGTACAGTATAAGGAGAAAAAAAAAGAGTTCCTTTCATTTTCTTTCCTTCTTCTTCTTCTTCTTCTTCTTCTTCTTCTCTCTTTCTCTCTCTGTAAACCCCAACCCCTCTCTCTCTCTCTCTACCCAACTCACATTAATTCTTTGCTTCTACCTTTAAATTCACGAGATCCTCCATTTCCCTTTTTTCTCTTTACATTGTAAAGATTTCTCAGTTAATCCACCATTACACTTACAAATAAGAGAAAAAACCCAAACCCAGTTCAAGATTTGAGACTTTAAGATATACACATTGCTAAATTTATATATTTAAAAAAAAAATGTCGCATTCTGGAAAACCCATATCGGAAATGGGTTTTGACTCATTAGCTGATCGGTTGAGAAACTCATTACTGAGTAGTTGTAATATTAACGAAGAGAAAGAGGAGGAGAAGAATGATAACAAGCCCGATTTTCGAGAACTGGATCTGGGTTCACCCGTTTCACCATTGATGACCCGAACGAGTCGACTCAGTACCTCTACCACTACTACTACGACTACTACGACTACAAGTAGCAGATCTAGCTCATCATCTGGATCCGGGTCGGCTCGAAATGTGTTATGGTCGGGTCCTAGAAGATTGGATGCGAGCCATTCCGGCGAACTTTCGGGTTCGGGTTCAGTTGAGAGCTCGCCTACAGCACGTGGGCTCAAACCGGGTCATGGGCGGTCCGATTCGGGAAATGCACATCCGTTAATTTACTCCGGCGGATGCTCCGTCACTTCCCCTGTTGGTAATGCGCTTCCGGCCGGCAATATTTGCCCGTCCGGTAAGGTTTTGAAAACCGGCATGGCTTGTAAATCCACAAAGACTGATGTTTTAGGGACCGGAACGGCTAATTACGGCCATGGCAGCATAATGCGCGGCGGTGCGGGTCCAAAATCCGCCGTCGATGGCGGTTCTGGCCATACTATGAATTCAAGAGGATTTACTGTTGGTGAGACAGTAAAAAGAGGGATTTTTACTAATGATTCAGATGAGTTGAAAAGAATAGGGAATGAGAATTACAAGAAGGGTAATTTTATTGAAGCTTTGAGTATTTATGATAAAGCCATTGCTATTTCTCCGGGCAATGCTGCATTACATTGTAATCGAGCTGCTGCGTTAATGGCTTTGAATCGGCTAGGGGAGGCAGTGAAGGAATGTGAGGAAGCCATTAGGCTGGATCCATCGTATGTTAGAGCACACCAACGATTAGGATCTTTGTTACTTAGGTAAGTGATTTATAAAAAGTTTGAATCTTTAGAATCTATCCATATGCGCGTTCGCGTATTGGTAATGTGTTGAAGTTTGTGTACGGTGTATGGATATAAAAAATATCAAATTTTTAGAATCTATATGCGTGTTCTTCGCTTATCGGTAATGTGATGAAGTTTGTGAACGGTGTATTTGATATAAAAAAGATCAAATTTTGGAATCTATGTGTGTTTGCGTATTTTGGTAATGTGGTAAGTTGGTGTACGCTGTATGTGATATAAAAAAATATCAAAATTTAGAATCTATGTGTATCCACATATTGGTTATCATAAATCTTGGTAATGTGGTGAAATTTCTGTATTGAAGAGTAAGTGTTAAATGTGTTATTTTGATTAATGTTGCTGGCTAGGTTATTGGCTAATGTAAAACTTTCTTGATTGATGCTTGCTGTGTATGGTCGTATTGGTTATCAACAAATCTTGGAAGTGTGGTGAAATTTCTGTAGGGTGTATGAAAGATTACCAGTTAAATGCGTTATTTTGATTATTTTTTCTGGCCTAGTTATTTGCTAATGCGAAACTTTCTCGATTGATGCGTTATTTGACATTTGCCAAACAAATGTTAAATGGGATGCATGGAATGTGTTGATTAGTGGGTGGATGCACTTTTTGATTAACCAGATCTGATTGTTTTGAACGAACAAAAGTTAATGGTTTTGTCTGTTTGGATTTTTGTGGTCATTGTTTCTGCTATTTGTTCCAATGTTTGTCCCTTTTTTATAGGGCTATAGTTTCATGCATTTTATTGTTGTTCCCCTTCCACTTTTTAGTTTCTTCACGGATTGTAATTACACTTGCGACGGTATTCTCACAATTCCTTATCTGAATTAGATTAGTTTGCTTGCTTATTTTGCCTAGAACTGTAAGCAATCTCATTTCCTGTAAAACTTACAGTTTAGGACAGGTTGAAAATGCAAGGAGTCACTTTTTTTCCCTAGGTCATAAGCCAGATCAAGCTGAGTTGCAGAAGTTGCAAGCGGTGGAGAAACATATCAGCAGATGCACTGATGCCCGTAGAGGTAGAGATTGGAAAAGTACCTTAAGAGAAGCTGAGGCAGCAACTGCTTCTGGAGCAGATGCATCTCCTCAGGTAAAGCATTTCTAATGGTTCAGTTCCGTGACTAATTGGTTATGAAAATTTCAAGAGCTGATACTGAATTGCTGATATTGAAATTGCAGCTATTTGCATGTAGAGCGGAAGCTTATTTGAAGTTACACAAATTGGAGGATGCTGAATTGTGCCTATCAAAAATTAACAAGTTCGAACCATCTGCTGTAGCATGTCAGTCAAAATTTTTTGGGATGCTCTCTGAAGCATACATATTCTTTGTTCAGGCTCAGATTGAGATGGCTCGGGGAAGGTGAGTTTATGAATATAACATCTGCTGTAGTAGAAATAAGAGGTTCAGCAGGAGTATGAGAGAATGGATCATGAATATCTGCAGGTTTGAAAATGCACTGACTTACGTTGAGAGAGCTGCACAAGTAGACCCTCGAAGTACTGAAGTTTCTGCTTTACTCAACAATGTGAGGCTGGTGGGGCAAGCTCGTGGTCGCGGCAACAATCTATTTAAATC